AGGTTGCCGGCCGAGCCAGCCCGACTGCCGGTTCAGCAGACCGGCAGTCCGGTCCAGACCGGTTCAGACCGGCTGGACCGGTTCAGTCAGTTATTGTCAGTTTCAATCCCGGTTTTCAGTTTCTGTGTTATTTTCAGTTATATTCCGGGTCAAGTTCTGTTCAGTTGATTAATGTCAGTTCAGTTTTGTACTTAGCCGATTTCAGGTATACCGAATAAGTCCGAATATCATGTCAGGTTTAGTAGAGCATCTTAACATAATTAATCAGTTAGATTATCAGTTTGAGCATAGTCAGTAGTAATTGTTTATATTATTTTAAGTTTGATCAGGCATCAGCACTGCCATTCAGTTTCAGTTTCAGCAGTTCAGGTGGGGACTCAGACTAAGTACTACATTGTTTATAATTACGCTACCATGTTCGAGGTATGTATATTCAGTATCCGCTCAGAATGGTCGCCGGTCCATTCTGGGTTCTAGTGGCCTAATCTAACCACTAGAGTGTGCACATGGTCCGGTATTAGTTTGTGCCGGGAGATTGCGGTATTAGTTTGTGCCGATAGATTTCAGTTATCAGTTACGTGACTTATGTCGCGAGATCAGACCGGTATCAGATATCAGTTTCAGTTTCAGTTCAGTTGTATATGCTTAGTTCATGATATTGTTATTATTTACGATGTTTACATTAGTATGAGTTTCTGCGGAGCACAAGTGTTTTAGTGCTCACGCCCCCACACCTTTCATGTTTTTCAGGTCGGAGGGTCGGAGACGAGGAGTGAGCGGGCGAGCTGTTCAGGATATTTATGATTATTGTATTTATGTTTAGCCACGCTTTGTTTCCGCTGAAACTTTCAAGTACTTATTATCAGACTTTGCTCCGACGTTAGTCGGATAAGACGTTATGACCGTTTTTATGTATCAGTTTAAATTTTAACGATTTTCAAAATCAAGTTTTCTTCACGGTAGCATCCCGAATCAGTTTTCGCAAAATAAGTATTTTATTCAGAAAATTGCGAAAAATCGCGTACTCTAATATGATAAAAGTCGGGGTGTCACATTTGGTATCAGAGCACGTTTCTGCGTCTCTGAAAAGTTTTTCAGTCAATAATTTTCAGAAAAACCTGAACTGTCACGCTCACGCCTCGCCGACTCCAGGTAAGTGCTGATTCAGTTTTTCAGTTATAAACATATTACTTTGTCTATGCTCAGAAATCAGTAATCAGACTTAGTTAAGATGCTCGAATCAGATTCAGACTTTAGAGTTCAGATATAACCTTAGAATTCAGTATATTCAGTATGACTCTAGAGTTCATCAGAATTCATGTTAGTAATTATCGGCCATTTTTGGCGACTCGTCAAGAAATTTGTGTGCCTTAGAAATCAGTCAGAATATCATCACGTATTCAATAATTTTGAACATTCTCAATGTTCAGATGCCGCCACGTAGGGAACCAGATCATCCGGCTCCTACTCAGGCTACAGTGATCGCCCAGTTCCGCGACTATCATGCCGAAAAGTTCTCAGGGTAGGGAGATCCACGCGTAGTGGACGAGTGGATTCAGGGCCTGGAGTTTATCTTCGAGGTCATGGAGTGCCCTGAGAGATATCGCGTGGTTTGCGCACAGCTTCAGCTCACCGGTGATGCCAGGCTCTGGTGGAACGCTTACTGGAGCATGCGCCCCGGCGAGAAGGCGGGATGTACGTGGGAGATGCTCAAGGAGTTAATCCGTGAGAAGTACTATCCCACATACTACCGAGCGGAAATGGAGCGTCAGTTTCTGTCGCTCCAGCAGGGTACTCGTACTGTTGACGAGTACGAGAGGGAATTCACGAGACTTGCAGCTTTCGTTCCTGATTTGGTCCGCACGGAGGCACAACGAGCGCAGCGTTTCATTGACGGGCTTTACCCAGCAGTCCGTGATAACATCGTAGACCACGGGACACAGACGTATGCACGTGCAGTCTCCATTGCTCAGGAGGTGGATGCCAGCATTAGGAGGGAGGCCGTTCGTGGTCAGTTTCATCCATCCGCCCCTGCTCAGTCGTCTTCAGTTCCACCTATGTCAGCTTTACCATCTACCCAGCCGCCCAAGAACAACAAGAGGAAAGAGAAAGGTGCCCCGACAGATAAGAGGACCCGACGGAGGCTACAGCAGATTCCACAGTGCCCGACATGTGGACGACTTCACCGAGGCGAGTGTCGCTTTGGTCAGGATGTGTGCTACTATTGTCACGAGGCCAGACACTTCGCGAACCGTTGTCCGAAGAAGGTACAGCAGCCACAGCAGCCTCAGCAACCACCGCAACAGCAGCAGCCCCGTCAGCAGGCACAGAGGCAGCCTCAGCAGCAGCAGCAGAGGGGCAGACAGCAGGCCAGAGTTTACGCCATCGATCAGGCAGAGGCCGAGCAGTAGCCAGGTACCATGTCCGGAATGGTTGTTCTTAATAATGTTCCTGTGTTTGTTTTATTTGATACCGGAGCGACACATACTTTCATTTCGCGACGATGTCTTGACGCCATCGGAGTTCACGCTACTACCGCTATCGATCCTCTCGAGGTGAGTTTGGCCTCGGGACGAAAGATTGTGACTTCAGCTAAAGCTTCAGATCTTAGCCTTTCCATCGGTGGCCGAGTATTGTCTACCGACGCTTTTGTTCTCAAGATGAAGGACTTCGACCTTATTCTCGGAATGGATTGGCTATCCTTTTATCATGCGGATATCAAATGTCACGACCGGGAGATTACTCTTTATCTTCCGAGAGACGAGTCGATTACTTTCTTCGGCTCCAGAAACCGTTCTTTGCCTCATGTTGTTTCGATGGCGAAAGCCACTAAATTGTTGCGACGAGGCAACTACCAGGGTTATCTGGTGAGCCTTGTTGATGATTCTCAGAAAGCACGTTCACCTCACGATGTTCCAATTGTTCGAGAGTTTGTGGACGTATTTCCAGACGAGCTCCCAAGAGGACCGCCTAATCGACAGGTGGAGTTCTCTATAGACCTTATTCCAGGGGCCGGTCCAGTATCCAAAGCCCCGTACCGTATGGCGCCAAAGGAGTTGCAG